CACTGCCCTAGGGGAATATGGTTGGTTATTTTATAAATAGAAAGTATATCTGGAGTCAGTATATTAAAAGGGAGAGTGTTTTGAGTTGAGGGGGGAAGAATGTTGTGAGTCAAGGTGAAGAGGTTGACAGGAGCCAAATCATGCAGGGCCCATGTAGATTTGGTAAAGAATTTGGATTTTCTGCTATGAGCAATAGGAAGCCTTTGGATAATTTTAAACAGGAGAATAACATGAGCTAAACTTCTAAGTTTTGAAAAATAACTTAGAAGCTATGTAAAGAATGGCTACCAATGTTGGAATAGTTGTGGTAGAAGAGAGAGAGAAATGTGGACATGTTAAAGACAAATTTGGTAAGTAGGATCAATGGAAATTCTTAATGGTAATGAGGGAAAAGAATGAATGAAGGATGACTCCTAGCCTTTGGCTTATGAAGTAATTGTGTGATGGTAGCATTCATTGGGATATGAATGACAGAAAGAAATAGGTTTGAGAGAAAATCAAGAGCTACTTTTTGAAGCTCTTGAGTCTGAACAAGTTTGAAATGTGTATTAGTTAGTCAAATAGAGAAGGCAGTTTGAATATATTGCTCTGGGGGTCACAGGATACAAAGTTGGGAACCATTAATATATGGATGTGTAACTGGTTTAAGTGAACTAGCTTGTTTTTTTTCTATTCCTGTATCCACCTTTGCTCTGCTGCCTCTCCCCTTTGCTCTGCTGCCTCTCCCTTTCCTATTCCTTAACGACACATCAGGTAGGTTCCTGCCATTTTTAGTTCTTTAAAGTCCTGCTTGTCGAGTTTAACACTTCCATTTCATTCAAATTTAAATCTCCCTTTCTTCCCCCCAGCACTGACCAGATGTCCTCAAGGGACTTGGAATGGGGAAAGAGATTTTTTTTCATCACTTTTACCCTGGTATCTTCAAGAGGAGAGGAAGTAGTTGGCCTTGTTTCCCTAACTTTTCAGGTTCACTAGCTTTTCCTCTAGTATTATAGCTAGTATAGCTGAGTACCCCCATTTTTCTAAGAGATTGCTTATTTTTTCTTTCCTCTTTTATCCCACTTCCTACTTAGCTCTTTAGAAATGCCGTATAACCTTTTACCTCCTCTTCACCAGATACTCCCTCCAGGGTGAGTTAACCCTGCTATGTGCTTAGAAGCTCCAGAACCCAACTTTCTCCCACCAGGAGACTGACTTGAGAGACCACCTCAAAGTATGCCTGCTACAAAACTCTTTCCTAACTGGAGAGTTTCAGCTATTTTTACAACCTAGTTCTGCCCACAAAGGCACCAGTGGTTACCAGCTTGACTGCCCAGTAGATAAGGTACCAAAGCAAGTTATGCAGACTCACCTGCATTTCTCTCCTCTGCATGCCATTCCTGCCAAGACCCGTTTTAAAAGCACCCACTATCTGCTTCAAAAGTGAAGCAGCAACCTTAAAGACAAAAGTCTGTACTTCTTCCCCTAAGCCAGCTTTGGAATAAAAAGTCACCTTCTTTATACCCCAGACCTCGCTCTTGTTAATTTGACTCTGCATCCCGTGGGCAACTGAACCTTCATTTTGGTTACACCAGGAAATTTTCCTGAATTATAAGAGAAAGAATAGGAGAGGAAGAGCATGTAGCTCTTTTCTTAACTGCTTCTTAGTAATCCCTGAATTAGGTGTCTGTCCTCAAATACTGGAAATTCCTTAGCATGTACATAGGTGGCTTCATTTTTTGTCATTTTGAGCCAGAGTCACCAATTACTGGCAACAGGAGAAGTCCCACGTAACATCCTATCTCATTTAAAGATCTTATTTAAAGCCATAGGTGGAATGAGATATCCCCTCAGGTGACAGAATGGAGGTTGTTGATAGACTTAAAAATGGCCCTTTTGGGAGTGAAGGGGAAATAAGTCATGGTAATAGGTTGTGAAGTGAGAGGTAAAAATGTAGGGATGGTGGACAAATCATTTGGGAAGTGTTATGATGAAGGCACAGGGAACTAGAGTAGCAACTGCAGGGAGCTTTAGGGTAAAAGTGATGTTTTGTTGGTTTGAAAATTTTCAGGTAGGAGTGCTATGGCATATTTTTGCACTGATCATTGGAGAAGGGATGATAATGCAGTATATGAGGTGATCATGAAGGAGTTGAGTCCTTGAGAAGGTGAGGGAAGAAGGGATCCAGCACACAAGAGAGATTAGCCTTTGATAAGAGTAAGGGGACTTCTTGTGTTTTAATAGGAGGGAGGGTAGAGAAGAAGGGGTATTGGTGGTTTATAGATTTGATGATGGAAAGATGTGAAACATCTTCCAGATGGCATGTGTTTTAGTGAGGCAGGAGAGTTGGTTAGCTGCTAATAATGGGGATGGTTGGGAAGGGAGAGTGAGAAACATTTTTCTGTTATATTAATAGTTTGTAAGACCTTCAAATCAGGGGAAAATTCATTTAGATTCACCTAAAATACCTGACAAGGTGCCAGAACTATTTATTACATATTTTTGGAAAAAAAAAAAGATTTTATCACAAATAGGAATTATTCCTAGCTTTAAATCTCATTTTAGAAAGGTATTATAGCTGTTTAGAAAATTTCATATTTTAAAAGCCCCAAACTGAAATTGCTGGTATTTTGAGGCATTATGTACAGATAAAATGGACTCATGGTTCATGCAAAAGTGAAATTCATTCCATAAGGGATTTTAATGACAAGAAGAAACTGTACTCCATTCTGACTAAAGAACACATTGCACCCTGGTGGACTTATTTTCCAAGAGGGGCTACTGATAGGGATAAAACTATCTTCTTTTTGGAGGCCTCCTTTCTCTTTGTAATCTTCTAGCTGGCTGCTAACACAGGGCTCTGGATCAAGGGGCCTCTCAGTACATGCAGTTGAATGACTTTGTTTGGGGCCAGTCCTGATGCCTATAACCAAAAAAACTCACTTTTGATTATGTTGGGAGAATTGCTAGTAATGGCCCTGATTTATTCTCTTCTTTTTTTTTTTCTCGCTCTTCTACCCTCAATCTTTGTTTGCTTGCAAGAGACGCGTGAGCCAAAATTTTAAAGTTTGCAAAGTATAAAGAAAGGAAACAAGTAAAGAGGGAAGGAGAATAAATACTGAACAAGACTGGGCAAGGTGACAAGAAAGAATTACTGTGAAAATCTGGAAGAGGGCCAGGATGCAAAATGCAAGGGCTGTGTAGTTTACAGGAACTATTTAGCCTCCAGTATGCTTCAGCGATCACACAAAGAAGGCCAGATTTCTCTGCTTTTGTCTCCTACCCTATAGTTAGCTATGGAAATTTGACATAGGTGATATGATATGTGTTTTCAGTCAGCAAACCGATATAAGTGCAGAGGACCATGGGGCCTGTGCTCAACAAATCCGACGTGATTTGAATTGCTAGGAGGGACCTCTTGTGGCTGTAGTGGGAAATACTTCAGCTAAATACTGTCTTGGAGGCTGCAGATATTTTTATGAAGGAATTAAAAACAAAAACCCACTGCACAAAGCTCTTTAAAATTATATTTCAGATATTTATAATATTTAATTGTTTTGATAACACCAATTTCTGTAAGAAGGTTTTATCTGTATCGCATCTCTGAAGAGTTCAGTTTAATTTAAAGCTCTTCAGCTTTTATCCATTTAATTCACATATCCTCTGAGAAGCAAATAAAAAGAATAGGAGTTCTCATCTCCATTTTGTAGATGGAAAGGAGAGTCAGGTAAGTTACTTATTGTGGTTTCACAGCAGGACAAACCATGGTAGAATTTGGATATCTCATCTTGGGCTCAATTCAACAGTCCTGGTTTGGAAAACATTCATTATTAAAGCTCTAAAACAAAACCTACTATTTTGCAAGTGTCAAGTGATTTCTTTATTCAAGAAAAGATGGATTGAGAGACATAAAACTTACTCTTTGTTTCACTGTGAAAAGAGACTCTTCCTAGATTCTCCAGGGGGAAAAAGCTGCTTTAAAAAAATCTGGGAAGGATAGCCTGTTAGCAACTAAGAATCTTTAGATAAATGTATTGTCAATTATGCACATTTTAAAGGTAGGACATAAAAAAAGTTATTTTGAAGGCTCTCCTGAAAAAACATATAAAATGAATTCCCTTCACAGTTGAATCTCTGACAATTCCCAGACCCTGCCTTTCCTCTTGGCTCCCTGATGTTTGTGCTAAGAGTATTTGGAGAGCTAATAAATAAATGCTTTCTTTTTATTTTGAATTCAGCCTTTTAAGAACAGGACTGCCAAAACTCAAACAAGTAGTTCATATTTTAGTTAGCACTGCTTGTCTTAGAAGCTATTAGAAGAAAGTCAGAAAAATGGTAATGTCCAAAGAAATGCCACAGAAGTTCAAGTGGGATGTCAAGGAATTGATGAAATGATAAAGAATAAGGCAGGGATATGCAAGATTTTTTCAGTGAATGTGAAGATATTGAGGGAGAAGATATCAAAAAAAGGAAGAGGAAATATGAAGAAGGATAGTCATGGAGAGAAAAAAGAAATTTTGGTGGAGAAGACTTTTTTTTTTTTGGTGGCTTAAATTTAATAATGGTTTAACTACTGAGCTTTTGGTAAATATTCAGTTTACATTCTTTACTGATAATGATGTGGTTCCTCATAAATACTGGAAGCAGAGTGTGTGATGCTTGGTACAAGGTATGAGACAGGTAATATTTCAGAAGAAGAAAAATAAGATCTCAGACGTGACACATGGCCTTGATGTCATCATCTCTAGGGTTCTGAAGACATTGAATTTTACATAATTGATCTTTTGATGTGAGGATTTTCTGGACTCCTGTTTTCCCTTCTGTATTGTTCACTTTCAATAATTCCAGTCTTTGGCTTTAATTAGATATAAGAGGTTCCTCTTTTGGAAAGGAACTAGAGAAGTGCAAATCTAACTTATTCAGAGCTATGTTTGTAGGTCTCTAGGCAAAGTATGTGTCTGGCCTTTTTCAACGAAGTATTTTCAGTAACAAGTTGTCAGTGAGGTCAGTGACTAGCAGTTCAGGATTAGATACCACCCACCCTGGCTTGTAACCTCCCCTTTCTTTCTTATCCTGGGTGAACAATGCTCAGCTAAAGTGACTGCCCCACTGTCACTGCCTCTCAATTTGGTACTCTGTAACTCTGCGACCACCAAGAAGTCTTTTTTCACCCCCCCAAGCTCTTTTTGGAAAATTCCCTACAGGAGCCGCATTTTAAGCCTATTTATTTTATAGGAAGAAACAGAAAGGTAAGAGTCAAGTTTGTAAAGAGAAGAGCTGAACTTCAGCGAATTCTCATTTCTGCATTGAATTCCTGTGTCTTAGTTATAATCATAGATTTAAAATGTGGGATTTCCTTCTGAATTAAGGAAGATCACATTATTTATGAAATGGGAATGTTTTGACTAGTTATGATGAGAAATGTATGCTTTCACGCTAATTTTAGAGTTATAAATAACTTTCAAACTATTGCCAGGGGAAGCTGGTAGCCAAGGTCGTGCTTTGCATTCAGAGAGCTTCTGGCTATAAAAAGCAGAATGGATACTGTGCAGGAAAAGATAAGATATGGCTTAGATGCTTGTGCTTTGGCATGGGAGTGGGGAAAAGGAAGGAAAGATGGAATATGTTTGAAGGGATTTTACTTCCAATCAAAAGCTAATTCATAGTAAATAGAAGATGTTTCAAGTGAGATAATGGCAAAAAGCAGTAATTTCCAAATTTAATATCTATTTGCTTTGTAATTGGCAGGAATATTAGGAGGTTGAGGAATGCTTTCAGAACTGTTGGATGACCAGTCATAATCAAATGAAAATCACTGTATGGAATGATCATGAGATGTAATGATCAATCATGTAAAGAAAAGGTCACTATCTAACGGGATCTGAGTGATTGTGAGCAGCTGCTGTCAGTTATACTGAAGACAGAATTAGAAGAAATGAGTTCAAAAGGGAAGAAGAAGAAATTGGGGCTAGGCATCAGAAAGTACATTTACTGTAGAGGTTTTGAGTCACTGATATGTGCCTACTCAGATCTCTGGAGATACATTAGAATTAAATGATTTGATTAAAACAAAGTGGGAAAAAAAGGATTTCAGATTTGCCTTGGTTCTGGGTTTATGGCTAGTATATTGAAAACTCAACATATTAGAATAGTTGTGATTTGAAGATGCAGATTATCCAGGTCATATTTGAATGGCATATTTGAGTATGCTATTAAAATTTTGTTATCCATTATAAAAAAATTATCTCAGTAGTACTATAGGACAAGTTTGTTAAATGGAGAAACCTAAAATACAGACAGCATAGACAAAGTTATTTCCATTTGTTACCTCCTGCGCATAGTCTGAATCTTCCTTTTTATTTGAGTAAAAGATTGGGATTTTTATGATCAAACTTTGTTTCATTATAAAAGCAGTAAGTGTTCATTGTAGGAATTTTGAAAGCACAGAAAAATATTGCCAGTAATCTCACTGATGTTTCCTTCTAGTCTTTTTTTTTTCTAGATGGCTTTAAAAAAATTGCAGTAATATTATAGATAAAATTTGGAACCTTGCTTTTTTATTTAACCATATACCAAAACATTTTCCACAGAATATTACCTATTCTACAATTGCATAGCATTTTAAATTTGTGTAACATTCTTCCAAGTGAATGAATATAATTTTATTCATAAATGTTCAGCAATTATTAATAAAATTATATGGTGCTATGGTAAACCATAAAATTATATGGTGCTATGGTAAATAGCTTTTTGTATTTACTTATGTGTATATGTATGTATGTATGTATGTATGTATGTATGTATGTATATTTAAGATATTCCTTAATCTCTGTTTCTAAGTGTGGAACTGTTGGATTAGAGAATACTATGTTTGAAGGTAAAGGTTGTGATATTTAAGATGTGTTTTTCTTGTTATTCTTTTAAAGCATTGCAAAATTCCTTGTCTACCAAATGATATATTTATTGAGTGTCTATGAAGTGTAGAACATTGTTATCAGGCACATAGATATCAAAATACTTAGTGTTTAGAAGGACAGAATCTCTCCTACTCACAGAATTTTTACAGCAGATTATCAACAAAGCTTCATGTCAGAGTTGAAAATACTTCAGCTCTGCCTGAAACCAACAGATAGTATTGTTGATCACTAATGTTACTTTGGACATTAAAACAATAAAATTTATAAATAACTTTGTTAGAAGACCATGTAGACATAGGGGTTTATTTGACTTTTATGATGCAACTGTGACAAAGAAATGGGAATAGGAAGAATAAATTCTTTAGTTATTGTGAATCTTTGGAGAAATTAGAAGTATTTGGAGAAAATCTGTAGGCAGCAGAATAGAAAGAAAAGGATAGAGGACACAAGCTAGAGGAGCCATTCAATATTGGGTTTTTCTAAAGGAAAAATATGAGAATGGAATAAGGCATGGCTGTGGAAGGAGTCAGGGAAAATAAGTTTTAATTTTGTCATTGTTCAGTTTGAGAACCATGGTTTTATAAATAGAGTATATTGAAGGAAGAAAGCTAAGGAATTAGTGATAGATAAAACTAATTATTGGAAGTGGTGACTGGTCCAAAGAAATCAAAGTGGAGAGATTAGAGATATTAATATTATGTGGTGGGAAGTGAGATATAGTTATGAATTATTAAAGAATACATTCTTCCTGTATTAAAAAACTTTTTAAATTGTGAAGTTTTATTATTCGATAATATTTAGAGACAGCCCATAGCTACAGAAGGATGGGCATTTCATTCTGTGTTCCCCATGAACTTCTGTTTGCATGTTTCTATTTTTTTTGGAATAGGAGGGATTAAGATTTAAGAAGAGAAGTTGGCAACCCAAACTGGCTGGAAGAGAAACTATGTGCTTCGTAATGAAGACTTAAAAATAGTGTTTATTTATGGATCATTGGCTCATGGGAATGCTAGCCTAGAGATTTAAAAAGCGTGATTTTCTGATTCTTGTTGGGATACTGTATTTTAACTGACATGGTACTGCGGGGTGGAACTCCAGAGTTTAGCCAAGTTGCAAATCTAATGGAAAGTGACAGATAGTTGAGGCTGCAGAATTTTTGAAGGTGAACAGGACTGTTAGCCTGTTAGCTGCTGCATCTGATTTTTCACATGCTTAATTACTGTTTTTAACCACATTATTGTTGCCTGGGACTCAGCCAGTAATCTGTTACCAATTTAATCACTAGCTTCTAGCATATGATAAGTGACTATGAGTTTCTATGTGCAAAATTGAAGATTAGGTGAAGTTTATTTGGCACCCTCCCCATCTCTTTTCTTTGCCTTTCATTATCCTAACCAGGATGCTTTTCTGCTTCAGATCCCTCCTGGCAATGGGGAAATTGACTTGATGGAGAGGGCAATGTTTAGTGCAAAGAAAGTCTCTCAAATACTGGAACTTGAACAATGGAGGCCCCTACTTTAAGTTAGCACTGTTCAAAATGTAATTGGCAGTTCTGTTTTTATCTGGTCTATGAGGAGATAAGAGGCTTGTGCCTGAAAGTAAATCAGCTATACCCTAAGCACTTGGTAGCGAGATTTTCTACATGAAGGAAGCACTCACTAACTTAATTTTAGTACAAGCTCCTTTTCTCATTGCAGACCTGCAGTTTGAGTAGCATTGCTTAAGTTATACTATATAAACATTTATCTCCTCTTACCTATGTGCATGAAGTCAGAGAATAGGGATGAAGGTATACAATTAATTAATTACGAAGTCTCAGTTGATGAAGCCTTTAGAGATGGCATCAGGGCAAAGAGGCCCAGAGTTAGCTCGTTGAGAGCCCATGGAATGAGAGGCAGGATTGCCAAAGGGCTACACTGAGTCTACTCTAATGTTGGTTTGGAATTCATTCATTCATTGTAGATGATTTGTGTGCCAGACATGTTTTTAGTCTGGGGATAAATACTAGTGAACCAAAAATAGACCCTGTCTTCATGATGTTTCCTTTCTAATGTGTGGGTTTTTGTGCATAGGGGTGAAGTGAGAGTAATAAATAATCCAAATTCTCTGAGATTCTCCAGAAGAGATCCTGGGTTCTGTCTTAGTCCAGGGCTGAAGCTCATGGATCATGTTTTCATGGGAATTTGCAGGATTAACTTGCCTTTCCGTTAGACTCTGCAGGTTCTATTTTCCCAGTATGGGATTACAAAGGAATCAAATAGTCTGTGATAGACACTGTTGGTTGACACAATATCGATGTGTTCTCCTCTGCTTGCTAATTGACAGAACCCTAATTTCAGTCAGGAAAAAAAAAGGCATAATGTTATGCAGATTGATCTGCATCTTGTATCTCCTTCCCCCTTAGGACAGTTATATTTGGTTAAGACAGATGCATAGCAGTTCGTATAAACTTACCTTGTTCTTTTTAGCAGCTTTATTGTGTTTTACTCTATATATGTAGCAGAATTCATTTAGCCCATTCTGAATTGATGGGCATGTTTGTAATTTTCAGTATTTTTTATTTGTTTTGTCATGTTGCTGTGTTGCAATGAATATTCTTGTTCATATATCCTGGTATACTTTTTGAGTGTATGCCTAGGTTAAATTCATGGAAGTAGAATTGCTGTATCAATGGGAATGTTTATTTTAAAATTTCATAAGTATTACCTTTAATTGGAAATATTATTCAGCTTATTAAAGAGTATGCATAATTATACAATTGAGAGAAGATGGCGCTGTAGGACCAGCTCAGGATTGCAGCTCCCAGTGAAAGTGCAGAGGGTGGGTGGACACCGCATTTTCAGATGGATCTTTATTGCCCACAGACCAGGAGATTCCCAGGTGAAGGAGCCCCATGGGTCGCCAGCGCGGCTGTTTTGCCCGGCGTGGCTGTTTCAACTGGCGATGCATCGCAGCAGCTCTCCCTACAAAATACACTGGTCTGGTTGCCCTGTTAAACTGACAATTAGAGATCCAGGAAGGCAGATTAGCATATTCATCTGATTAAACAGGACAGAAACATAAAGCCAGGCCAGGAGATTCCCGGGCAGCGATGTTGTTTCAGCCAGCACAGTGGGTTGCTGCATGGGAAATCACACAGATCCCAGTGCCCTTTCAGCAGGTGACTGGAACCCCTGGGAGAGAGTCAACCATTCAACTTATTAAAAAAAGGGCTCTGAGGCAGGGAGCCAGGTGATCAGGCTTGGCGGGTCCTACCCCCACAAAAACAAACAAACAAAAAAAACTGCAATTGGAAACACTCTGGGTTCAGAGTTTCTCGGCAAGCACAGCTG